TTGTACATGGGGGCGTCTTATTGACGTAAAAATACGGTAATTCTATCACAAACACCAGCTGGACTGAGAAGGACCATAAGGGTGCTCTCCCACTTTTGCAAGGAGCACTTACTGCAAATCAGCTATGAGAAAAGTAAGAGTGTGCACTTTGTAGAGTTTTTAAAAAGTGTCCTGGAGACTTAATGGAAAGTGTATCAAACACTATGTTTCTCATACTTGGGTTCTGTGATGCAACATTCAGGGAAGCTAAATACCCACTATATCCAGAGAGGTTCAACAACAATCCTCTTGATTTTCTTCTCAAGAGGCACAGAATTTATTCCAGCTGCTCTGAGTCCATCTGAAGCCAAATTATTGATCCAGCTTCTATATGGGGCTTGGTTAATTCCAGGCTCTAAGTACATTAAATTAGAAAGAGTGTGAACAAATTTCTTCCCAGTAATATTCCAGATTGTAAGATGTATTTCTAATGCAGCCTTACAGAGGGCTGAAACAAGAGCATGGTTGTATATTTAAATGCTGGCTAAAGATTAATTTCCAACCTTCAGGCTTGACATCTCTTCCCCCCACCCCCAAATTTCAATCCACCTGGAAGCAACCAATTGGACATAAAAGACAGAAACGGGCTGTCGCTGGGAAAGAACAGGCCATGGCAACTCTTAGACACAGAATCATTGACATGGAATTGCAAACTGAATATAGTAAAATATCAGCTGGCATAAAACTGGACCATAGTAAGATCCACACCAATCTGGCCCAATACCTTAACTAGCTTACAGTTAATAAATTTCATAGAGCCTTTATACTGCTGCACTTCGACATCATGCCTGGAGGGCAAGTGAGAAAATTCCTTATGCAGGCTTGCCCCTGCCAGTCTGGGAATACTGACTCACTGGCCTGTAACTTCTATAGAGATACACCTACGGAGCTTTTAAACACCTCTCATTAGGCCATTCTCTCAACATCCAGGTTAATTTTATGTAAATTTCTTTGTGGTAGATAAGCTCTAAAATAACACAAGCTGTTGCCAAGTTGGCATTTGTAGCCTATAGAATGCTTATTAATGGCAAATTAATTTGGGGTTGATCTTTTTCCACTGTATTGCATAAAGTACTAGAGCGTTATATTGTTTTACCTTATTACATAGTATTTTTCTGTTTTATCTACCTTATTTTATTGTATTTAATCTAATTATTCTGATACATATGTTGGGTCTGTCACTGGTAATACAGTAATTGAATTGAAAATATAATCACCACAGGCATGGTAGAGGGGTTAATGATATCAAAATGGCAGGTGCAACCAGGAGATCAATGCTCTATCCCTATTTATGTGCTGCGATGCATGTGATACATGTTAAAATGTGGTAGGGCTTTGATCACTCATTCATAGTCATCATTTTGAGGTCACCGTCCTGCCCTGCAGATGCCCCTTCTAATCACTAGAACAGGTCTCCTGAGAGTTTTAAATTGAAAGATAGCATATAATTAAAAAAAAAAATTGTCCTAAATAATATTCATCTGATCAATATCACTTTATTTATATATATTTATTTATATATTTCTCAATAAGAATAAAACTGGTACTGCCACTGCATTAAGTTCTTTAGAAACTTTATTCACATACATGTTCATTATACAGTGTTATTTTAAACTTACCTTTACTTCTTCTTGATTTTTAGTATTCATACTCAAGTTATTAAGTGCATTTAGTGCTTTCTCTTTAACACTGGTGACAGGAACTGAAAGCATTTTTCCAATCAGAGAGAGGCCACCTAAATATCGAATGATATCCTACAAATTAAATAAGTAGAAATATATTGTATATAATTATCTTAACTCCTAAAGTCCAAAAAAAATCCTGTTAACAAACTAGACTTCTCTCTAATTTATAAAAATGACTGTTCCTAATAGCCATGTTATTTTAAAATAAAGTTCAAAAATAAATAATGTAAGGGAGGTAAAACACAGAAAAGTCATGATCATATGATCACTTCCAAAGAGATGTTCACAGGATTTCTGAATGCATGCAACTATTTAATATCTCAAGCCATCCTATAATTATGAAATTGCTTTCTATTAATGCAGAAGATTATTTATATCTTGCCACTGCTGTGATATTTTCTTCTATCTTGATTTCTAGTAATACTGTCACCATTTCTTTCACTGAGTGTATCAGCTCATTTCTTCTACAACAGAGGTGGTCAACATTTTTTGACCCGGCTGCTGACAGCATGATGTCACCAAGGAGAAGAGCTAAATTTCTGGCACTTTTTTTTGGCATATTCTGCACCTGGAGAAGGTCTAAAGAATCAAGAATGCCTTAAGCCAACAGCATCCATTTCCCTCTTAAAACACCAACAAACTCTTCAGAGTCAAAAAAAAAAAAAAGAATCAGAATGATTAGCCCATTTCTACTCTAGCATTGAGGTGGAACAAGTTGCTCTCATCCCCTTAGCAGGCTATCACTGAAACAGCAGAACCCTTATCCATAAACTTCTTGCTGCAGATTCAGTTTAGAATTATGGATGCATTACAAAAGCCCAGATAGCCTTTTCCTAACACTATACTGCAGCATACCATAAGATTATTATTTTCAAAGATTGTATCCCAATTTTTGACTGAATATTCTTAGTCTCCAATGATAATTACATTGCTTTCCTTTTTTACCATGTTATTACAATGGATTGGATTCAGACTTAAATCTCATTAATTTCTAAGAATCAATTAAATATGACCAAACCATTTATTCCACCTATTATTTTTTATCTATTATAGTGTTCTCTAAATTGTGGAATGAAAACGAAAAACAGCACTTACCTGATTTACAGAGAATGCTGCACTATTGCTCAGGGTAACCAAGACCTGTTCTTGAACCAAAGGATCCTCTGTAGTCTCGAGTATATGAAGAAGATTTCCAATGTGATATGCCTCAAGACCACTGGGTGATTTTGAAAGATCCTTCTCTGCTAATGTTAGAAAATAAATATTACACCTAATCACTTTTCTTCAAAAATAATGTAACTGAGATGATGGCAAAGGAGAAGAAGGGCTGGAGCAGGTTGTTAAATATGCTTATACTAAACAACAGTAGTGGAAAAGTTTACAATTGCACTTTTTGATTAACATACAGTATTCAGATGAATGTATAACACAAGCTATTAATTAACAGCAAACAAATTGACTATTTTTCAGAGTTTCTATCAACTAGAAATTTCAAAATGTCCCATAGTTATTATTGCACAGTGACCATATGAGGCCCATTCCACTCCTTCAGCTGATGGTGACATGCATTTATGTCTCTGGAGCAGAATATGAACTGTGCTTGTGGCAGTCAATCTGTTTCAGCCCATTTGGCAAGACTGCCAAAGACAGCAAGGGCTGTATGGACAGGTGCCTGTAATGGTATGTGAGAAAGATCTTGAGAAATGGGGCAAAGAGATGCTGCCTAGAGAATGGTCAGATAAGAGAGGGCTTAGCCCACAGCTGCATAATGGGTGGAGAAAGAGGCTCAGAAGGGACCCTCCCTAACTTCTCAGGCTGTAAAGGAGACAGCAGGAGATTTGTACTTTCAGACTTGCAGAAGATTCTGCAAGAACCTGTTCTTCAGATTCTGTTAAGGTAGCCTTACATAGAATTAGCTCATCTATTCATGTTACCTGTCTGGTCTACCTCGGAAGGCTGACATCAATCTCGTAAGTCTGAAAATACAAATCTCCGCCATCTCCTTTAGAGGAGATGTAAATTCAGGAGAGTCTTAACTCTAGCCCAATTTAATGTCCTCCCCACAGCTGTTTTGAAAGGGAAATATAGGAAAACATATGAAACCAGATATTGCCCCTGTGACATGGGTGCCATAGAAACCACAGCCCATGTTCTTTTGTATTGTCAGTTCTGCAGGAACATTCTCCACCAGTTGATTACCCCCCTTTTATTTAAATTTCCAGAGCATTCTGATAATTTTTATTTGCAATACCTGTTAAACAACCAAGATAAATTTATTTCTCTAAAAGTAGCAAAGTTCCGCTACATTATGAGTAAGCTTTGCTCACAAATGGTTGCCAGGTTATTGATGTTAGGGGGTAATTTTGCTTTGTTTGTTTTATAGAATGTATGTTTATTGGTTAATGACCGAAATAAAGTGTCTGTCTATATGTTCTATTCAGCCCCTCCTTTAGAATACCACCCCTTATTCAGTCATGCATTTCCCACCTTAGTATCATTCAATATTAGGAAATTCCTTCCTTCCTAGGGCCCCTTGACTGTTAGCTAAACACTTTTCCCTAGGTGAAGAAACGATCCTTGGAATGTACACCTTATCTTGTTTCTATGGGTACAGCTTCTTATCTATCAAGATTAAGTGAAAAAGGCCTCCAAGCTTACAGACTTGAAGAAAAGAATAAAATATGATTCAGAAATCCCTAGTTGTTGTTCAGTCATTAAGTCGTGTCCGACTCTTCGTGACCCCATGAACCACATCGCGCC